TGTTGGAATCAATCAAGAAAGAGTTGTGGGTAAGTAGTGAGCTTCATCTCTTGAAGTCGAAGTTCTAGACACTTGTGTTGACGTTGGGTAAATGGGCTAGGTCCGACTTATACCAGAGGAGTACCAACTTTCGCGGGATGAGATCACGGCAGCGAAGCAAAATTCCTTTATCAATCTTAGAACAGCCCACCATCACGTACACGGCCTTCCTTCTCTCGAAACATTGAATAGGCATACATCCCTTTTCACTACCTTGGATAGAATAATACACGAAAGTTTATACGTATGGAGTATGGACGATTCTTAGCTCGCCTGCATCAAGTTCCAGTCGTGTCTTGTGAACCATTTCCAGCTGAGGCACGCAGCTCATGCTTTAGGGCCAAGAAGTTGTGGCCGACCATACGTCGGATCCTTGCCCCTCAGATGTCTCCATCGTGAACTAAGTGGGTTGGTGGGACAGAAGCACCCGCCCCGCGGCCCTACCCATCTCCAGCCCACAGCGCAAGCAATCTCGAGAAATGAACCTGCAATCTCTCGCCCCGTCAGTAAGCATACAAGCGATACAGCGTCATCAGCCTTGTTGGCTAAGTGGTATAGCGTCTCACTAGTACTAGTGACATGAGAAGATCGGCGGTTCGATTCCGCCACGAGGCATTTCTTTTGCTGTTCTACTCTAGTAGGCGACCTTTTGCAGCGTTTCGATGATGGGTGGGTGATAGAGGGCAAGATCCGCTTAGAGATGAATGAGAATCAAGCAGGCAAGGAATTCAGTAAAGGTGGGGCTTCCATAAAGACTATTCATGTTGTTTCTTAGGCCTAAGTGAAGTTACTACTGTAAGGGGGCTTATTCACGAGTGCCATGTGTGAAGGTCATGTTGAAGTGGTATTGAGATTCAATTAGGTGATCAGGTATTGAAAGATCCAGAGTCTAAACAGGGAGGTATAGAAGTGAAGAAAGACAGATGATATCGAGGCGCCTTAGAAGAACAAATCAATCTGATATCATAAAGCCCCGCCATGTTACATGAGAAAACTTCAGTTACCCACCCCATCCTCCATATCTCGTACATGGACATTACAAAAGAAAGTAAAAAGTTGCGCCATTCCTCGGCGTTGAGTCAGTTACACGTGAGAGAGACAGAAAGAAAAGAAAGCTTCAAGACAAGACGCGTTAGGAGGATCACGACTTGTTCTTGCCATCCCAGAGGATGATACCGACAGACTCCTCCCAGCCGCGACCGGCCGCGATCTCCATGACGGTGCGGCCAGCATCGTCCTTGGCATCGAGATCGACACCGCCAGCCCCGACGAGAAGCTTGAGGACCTTGGCGTCGCCGTTCTCGACGGCCTGGAAGATGGCGTTCCATCCACGGTAGATCTTGTTGACGTCGGCGCCGTGACGGAGCAGCAGCTCAAGGATGTCTGTGTCGTCGCCGCGGCACCGGCGCACCGCCTTGACGATGGGCAAGTGCTCACCGGGCGCGTTGATGTCGGCGCCACCCTCCTCGATGAGGAACTTGGTGATCTCCTTGTTGTCCTCGCGGATGGCAGAGGTCAACGGGGAGAAGACGCCGCCGTTCTTGTCCTCGACGGACACGCCGGCCTTGAGGAGGAGCTTGACGCTCTCGAGCTGGTTGGCGACGACGGCGCGCTCCATCAAACCCTTAAAGGAGCGGATGTCCGGGACGGCGGGGAGGAGCTTCTCGAGAACCTCGGGGTAGTTGACGGACATGACGATGGGCCAGTCGCTGCCGCGGACGTTGGGGTCAGCGCCGTGGGCGATCAGCTCGTCGAGCATCTCCATGCGGCCTTCCTTGATGGCGGTCGTCAGAGGGGTGTTGCCGTCATCGCCCTTGTCGTTGGGGCTGACGCCCTGGTCGAGGAGCCAGTTGAGGGCCTCCATGTTGTTGACCCGGACGGCCATCTCGATGATGCCCTTGGGGTTGTGGAGGTCGTTGCCGGCGGCGACCAGGCGAGGGAGGAAGTGTGTGCGGAAGTGCGTGACACACTTGAACGCAGGGTACTCGGCGGAGTTGAGGTTGGGGTCGGCACCGCTGGTGAGGAGGAGCTCAAATATGTCTGCGCGGTTGTCGCGGATGGATGTGCACAACGGTGTGTAGATGCCATCTTTCTTGATGTTGGGTGAGACGCCGGCAGACAGCAGGACGCGGACAGACTCAATGTTGTTGATACTGACAGCGAGCTCCATGTTACCGGGGGCACGCTTGTTGTCAGCACCACGGGCCAGAAGGACCTTAAGACAAGGTGCCTGGTAGGTCGCGGGCCAAAGCATGTGCTTGGGACCCGGCAGGTTAGGGTTGGCGCCGTGGTCCAAGAGAGCAGTGAGAAGGTCCACTCTTGCGGCCATGATGGTCTCGAACAGAGCAGTCTTACCTTCTCTGTTCTTGACGTTGGGGTCGGAGCCGTAGTCGAGCATGAGGTCGACCAGCTTCTTTGGTGTCGTCTTATTCATGGAGGCAATCAGGACGGTGTTGCCGTTGGCCATGATGTGGTTGGGGTCACCGCCATATGTGAGGAGGATGTGGACAAAGTCGATCTTGACATCGATGACGGCGATGGCGAGCGGGGACTCCTGCGAAGGTCCAGCAGACATGTTGGGATCCGCACCGTACTTTAGAAGCATCTTGGTGATGTCGAGAGAGTTCATCTCTACCGCTGCAAAGAGGGGAGTAATGCCATCCTTGTCGGCAGAGTTTGGATCGGCACCGAAGAGAAGAAGCAGGCGGACTGCCTCGTGATCTTGGCACAGGACGGAATCCACGAGAACGTGCTGATCCGGGCCGGTGTCGGGTGAGACACCGCGGTCCAAGAGCTGCTCGACGAGCTTGTGATTCTTGCCCTGTACAGCAGCGATGAGGGAGGTCTTGAGTGACGGGTTACCATCGGCGTTGTGGCGAGGTGTCCAGCGAGGCATCGTCATGGGGTCGGCCTTGAGGCGAACGACCTTGGTCGGGATGCTGTCGGCGATGTTCTGAAGTTCGCCGATGAGCGTCTCTGTGCCGGATGTTGAGGGTGAGATGGTATTGTCCGAGTCGCGCAGGTTCCTCCTGTCTGAGATGCGGCTGGGTGCGTCATAGTCGCGATCCGACATGCCACGGTCTGACATACCGCGGTCTGACATGCCACGATCCGAGATGGTCATGTCGTCCCGTGCTGATCTCCTGTCCATGTTGATTCTTGTGCTGACAGGGTGGAGGTCGTAGTGACCGTGCTCTGAGATTGTGATATCGTCGCGGCCGATTCTGCGGTCGGGGATTCTCGTCGAGTGTCCATTCTCTGAGGAGCTGTGGTGACTCCTGTTGGAGATGGATGTGCGGCGACGTGGGTCTGGTGATAGCCTCACCTCCTGAAGAACGAAGTCTGCGGACATCTTTTCTACCAAGGAAGGGGGAGGGATGTGGGGTGCTTGAGAGGGGAGAGCGGGAAGGGGAGGGAGAGGAGGAGATCTCTCGTCTGAGCGATCCGGTAGTGCTGTCGGCTGGACTTCGAAGGACTTGGACTTTGATATCCGGACAGTCGAGTTGTGGTTGCTGATGCGGTCCAATGCAGCGGCGAGGCCAGCATAGCCGTTGCCGACAGCATCGTCCGTCTTTGAGTTTCCAAGAGACCACTGGAAGACGAGAGCACTCATCCTCAGCGCATCCCTTGCCTTGCGTATCGACTCCCTCATCCTCAAGATCTCCTTATCGGCAAACATCATGCGCCAGCCACGCTGGATCCTGCCCATGGCACCCTTCTTCTCGTACTCAAGGAACTCGAACATCATGTGGTCGAGGACCTGGAAGTCGGAGTTGGTCGAACGGAACTTCATGTCGAGCTCCTTGATCATGTCGGCGGGGAACTCCTGGTGGGTGCGAGCAGCCTCGGAAAGGCCGGCCTCGATGGACCATAGTATCCGGCAGATGTCGAGGAAGTCATTGGCGAGCTCCCTGAAGCCGTGCGGTTGGTGCTTAACGTTGGTGAGGAACTCGAGCATGCGCACCGAGATGTTGTTTCCGAGGAGCGTGGCCCTCGTGCAGAGGTCCAGGACGGACTCCTTGGCCTTTGGCTTGCCATACATGGCAGCGGTCATAGTGCCTCGTCTTGGTGCCGCGTAGGGCTGTAAAGACATGAGGGGTTGTTATCTCAGACGGTGATGTTGGAGGCAGTGGCTCTGGGGTTGTTATCGAGGGTAGCCTTGTATGTTGATCCGCACACGACACTATATGGTCAGATCAATGCTACTAATAAAGGCGGAATGAAGATGAAGAAACAGATCTCTCTCTCCACCGCTCATGGAGCAACGTGGGAGCTCAGCTGTTTATCTGTAAGTTCCGCCGCGGTGGGCAAAGCTGAACCTCACTCAAGGTGATTGCTTGTCCCAGCCAAGGTTCCTCCTCCTCCTCCGAAGAGCTCTCGGACAGGTCGAGGCCTAGTCTGTGGCCATCGATAGAGACAAGAATCAAGCGGCAAGCCACCAACCACGCCAAATGGGGCTCATTGGGAGAAGCAGGCATTGTCCCGGCTCGGAGCCATGAATCGTGATTGTACCCAAGAGAGACAAACACGGCGTCTACATTGGAGGATCAGGAAGCCGTAGTGCCAGGTACAAGGGATGTTCCAAGCACCAATTCAACGCTAGAGCAGTTAACCCCAGAGACGACCTGCGCTAGGCCGTCCGCTTTGACACAAAGGGCCGGAAATCAGACAGGAAAGCCAGTGCGGCCAGGCCATTCAAGACAAGAGACTGACATATGCCACCACTAGCTGGCATTGGGTCCCAGCGTTAGACCCCCTGGCCCGAACTCTTCAGGAGAAAAGGAAAGGGCTTTTTTTTTTCTGCCCATGAGTCTTGGGACCGGACGAAAAGACGGGACGATGACTAGAGGAGAAAAGAAGGAAAAAGCAAGTATGACAGCATCAGTGTTGTTGCCGGGCCGGGGACTCGGGAGGGAAGATAGTGAGGCTTACACACACCCTCGCTCCCACTTCAACTCACTTCAACTCCCATATTGCTCTCTGCAATACAGTGCCCGCTTCCAATCCATGTTCATCTTAGCGCTGGTGGCGTGGGGAGCTGAGAACGGTCTCGCCACGTGAGGAGGAGTCCTGGCTGACATTCCGATGCCTCGCACACAGTGTTTCTGTGTCTCTGTGTTTCCCACCCCTCCGGGCCCTTCGTCTTGGCCTTGGGCTTGGCCCCCCCCTCCTCCTCCCCTCTCCTCCCCCCCCACCCGGCAAACAGATCTAGCAGAGTTTTTTTCTTCTTCTTCTTCTCGAATCTGTCGCCTCGAGCGGGAAGCCTTGGAAGGGTTGCTTTGTGAGTTGTGACCGATCCATTTTACATAGCTTTCTGGGGAAAGCAAGCGACGACCCAGGCTCCACGAGCGGTTCGGTCGTTGCCGATCAAGCCTCCATCTTGCCATTGTCCTTTGTTTGTGCTGCACTGCTGATGGGATTGGAGAAGGGGGCGCAGATAGCCCATTGGATTCGGCAGTGTAGGGGACATGCCTGAGCCCTGAGGGGGACGTCATGTCCTTTGCAAATCTTTGGAGAAATCGGCAGTAAATCTTGCATTCGGCAAGTGCGCATTTCAGATACGGATATCTTGACCATCTGCGCTTGTCGCTCCCAATGTGACGTCTTGCCGGGGGGCGTGGCACTGGTGGGTGTTGCTTGACTCAAGTACGCTGTCAAAAGCTGCGAAGCGGTGCGGAGCCGTGTGTGTTTACGGAGTCGACGTCTCGAAGACGTCGAAAGGAGGTCTGTTCGTCCTCGGTACATGACAAGTTCTACGCGTCTGCTATCAGAATCAGATCAGTTTGCGACGGCCTAGGCCAGCTTCAGTCCAGTGTCGTTTGGATTGATCAGCGAATTGCGGGACCGCATGTTCGTGATGGCCTGAGCAAGGGGATCCAGAGGCCCAGAGAGGAGCCAGACGGGCCAGAGAGGGCAGAGAAGGGCCATCAAATCACCGTGTCACCCATGTGTAGCGCGCTCACGAACCAGTGCGATGATACGCCGTTGTCCATCAAACCCTGCGTGCTTTGTCTTTAGCTGGATTAGCTGAAGCTGCGTCCCTGGGTTCGTTGCCAGGGTTTGTGGTCAGGGGTAGTAATTAGTATGTATAATAGCAAGCGAACAGGCAGGCAAGCAACAAGCAAGAGCAGAAGGGCCAACAATCGCAAGAGAGCCCAGGAAGGAAAAAACTAGCAGCGAACCATCGCGCGTCTGCGACCCTGGGCCGCGGGGAATAAGCTGATGTGCCCCGTTCCAATGGGCACGGGACGGGCTTGCGAACTGCGAGGGGAAAGTTAACCGTGCGTCTTGATCGCCGCGATGAGAATCTGTGGTCCACACTGGCTGGGCGGGAGTCCCTGTCTCTTCCAAGTCACTACGTCGGAGGAGGTGGTGTTGTTGGACCTTGGATTTTGGTGGTTGTCGTCGTGATGGTGTGTGGTGGTAGTTTACTATGTGTTTACTATCAAGAAGGGCGCAGACGCCGCGGGCGGGAGGGAGAGAGGATGGGGGGATGATGCCGGCCGCCTAACTTCCAAGACATGAGCCCCAAGACATCGTTGTTCCTTGCACAGACACTCGTGTCGTCAAGACTTTTCAATCTGCTGTGCCACTGTTCGCCAGAGAATGGGTAAGCTGTAAGACTATTCTCCACCACACACCTTGGCCAGGCCAGGTCCGCGTCGTGTCCTCATTTCGGACTTGTTGGCTAGGGCAGATGCTAAGCCCAAGGTTCATCTAGAAAAAACACGGTACGGACGCCGTACGGATACTTACGTCTTGCAGACTAATAATGAGCTGAGAAATTCGGGTTCGTAAAGGAGGAGCTGATGAGTGCATGAGTGGTGGTGGTGGAGGATGCATGGACCGGAGCTCTCTCGAATCGTGTGCCGGGACCCTACGAGCAGCCAAACAGCTAGCTACGTCTAAATTGCATTTGCATTTGCATTTCCACCAGATTGGAGAGCTGGGGAGGGCTGGAGGGGCAGGGGACTTGGGGGACTCGGCCCAGCTTTCGAGGAATGAGGTCAAAAGGAGGAGGGGTGAATGGCACCCGAAGTTTGCGCCTATGATGCAAAGTCACCCCCAAAGATGTCAAGAAGAGGCAAGCTCAAAGGCAAAGCGAAGCGGGCGCAAAAGCCACACAAAAGCCTCGTTTGCGTCCTAGGAGGATTCCCCGAACGCCTCCTTGAGTCTCTATCGGCGAGTCGGTTGCTGGTCGGAGGGTACCACACCAACGGATTTTCGACGCCAACGCCAAAAGAAGCCAAAATCACGTCGAAATCTCCTCAAGGCTCGCCCCCCGTGGTCCCCGCCCGTCCGGTCTACTCTGAGCCTCTGAGCCTATCGCTCCGACTGGCTGACTAGGCCAACTGTCACTTTGCCAGGTCAAATAGCGGCGGTATTAGACTTCGGCCGGGCCGGGTCTACGCGTCCACAAACCAACATCTACCTCGGTTTGCTGATGGCTGCTTCCATCCACGCGGCGCAAGCAATACGTATCCGTGGACTCACAGACTCGAGGAATCTAGAGAATGAGGGTGTGGTGTCGCTCGCAAGCGTCCGGGCTTATCCCAACGCAGCTTTGCCTCTGTTTGTTTGCTGACGCTACTCCCTCCTTTTACTCCCTACTGCCTGTACAGTGTAAAGTAAGGTGGAATATCCGTAGTTAACTTGCCAACTTGCAGTGCTTTTTTCTCTCTGGCGTTTGTCCTAATCACCACTGCCGACATGTTCCCACCCCAAACCATGCCGGCACGGTTACCCGCAAGCGCACCAACGCACACCAACGCATGCAATAACTTATGTCTGCGCTCGGGGGGTTTTCTAGCAGACTACACAGACGGCTGAACATTTGCAATCTCGCTGCCGTTACTAATCCTGGGCTGGGCTGTCCTCTTCTATCGAATTGCCACGTGGAATGGTCCCTGCCCCTTTTTCTTGCCTCTGCCATCTGAAAGATTTCCTTGACCTTGTGCCACACACAGGCCGCCTCTCATGGCGTAGCACTACCAAGTACGGCTTTACGCCTCTCCATGGCTTATCCCCGTACTCCAGTAGGTTATTGCTCGGGAGATGCGCATTGAAGAATCATGATCGTCTTAGAGGATGGTCAACTGCTAAATTCACTGCGGAGTATCATCTCCCGGGAACGCTCCACGTTCTTCTCCTCATCTCTCTCCACGAAAGGGAAGAATAATGAAATCTTTGTTGTTCAGGCTCCTCCATGTTCTACACCCGTTCTTGTGCCGAGCCTAAGAACAGTGCTGGATTTCCAAGGATCCACTGATCAGCTCGTGTGATATAAGGACTAAGACAGGCGCCTTCGGGAGACGCCTCGCGGTCTCAGTCCCACGGCAGCAACCTTTTCGCATTGACTCTTTCCCAAGGGTCTATCATCTGAATTGAAATGGACTGTACAGGGAGAGTGACAGAGTACAGATATTGCGGCTTGCTTTCGTTCGCCGCCTCATCCCATCCTTGCAAACCCTTCGGTCCCCTGCCCAACCCAGCCATGGCTACATGTATTCAGCCAGCGTTGCCTTTACCAACGTCGCAGGGCCAGCAGATCGCACTCAATCCGAGGCAGTGGTGTGGTAGATTCATGATTTGTTCTAACGTCGTCCAGTATGTGGTAGGTACCAAGTATGTACGGAAACGCCCAAGAGACCCTTCGTGGTCACACCTCAAAATCCTACGGCGCGCTTTTCCCGCCCGCCATGTGTAACAATACAGTAAAAGAAGAAGAAAATAGAGCATAAAGGTATCTATACTCCAAGAATTACATCCGCCGCCTTCTCGCTAATCATGTACACCGCCGACGCGATGTAATACCCAGGAATCTTGGGGAACACGCTCGCGTCCACCACCCGCAGACCTTCAGTCCCTCTCACCTTGAACTTTGAGTCCAAGACGGCAGTGGCATCGCCGTCTTTGCCAATGGGGCACGTGCAGCTGGCATGGTGGCCCCAGGCTTCATTCCTGACGAACTCGGGCAAGTCCGCATCGGTGACGTTCTTCCCGGGCCAGACCTCGGTGAAGCCTCCCGTGAGGGGCACGACGCTCTCGAACATCTTGCGTGAGAGCTTCATGCCCTCTACCACGGCCTGGATGTCCTTAGCGCCCGTTGCCTCGTCCTGGAATGAGTTGAAGTCAATCTGCGGCATATCCCGCGGATCGGCTGAACGCAGCTTGACGGTTCCGGCCCGGTTGCGGCTGTGGGCTTTGAGGGTGATCCACGTCCAATGTCTCTGATCCGCGGTGCCATCGACGGAGTATCCGGGATAGTACCCAGGGAAGGCGACTGGTGCTCCTGCGATAAAGAGGTCCGGGTCTCCCTCTGCCACGGTCGACTTCTTCACGATACCCAGGCTGATGCCGTTGGAACCATAAATCCCCCTATCACCACTCGCGGCGCCGTCCTGCCACTTTTTCAAGCAGGGATCGTCGGTGCCAGGGCGAATGAAGGTGCAGCCTTCGATGATCTGAAAGTTTGTCGGCGTTTCGCCAATAACGGACGTCTCGTAACCTGTTGTGGTGATGATCAGTCAAACGGCTCTGCATTGAATGATCAATTCGTCAGCAGCAAATGAGAAAACTCACGGTCTTGCAAGTTGGTGCCAACACCAGGAAGATCGACGATAGAAGGGATACCGAAAGAGGATAGCTCCTCTTTGGGGCCAACGCCACTGAGCTTGAGCAGCTGCGGGGTATTGAAGGCGCCGGCTGATATGATGACTTCGGCCGTGGCGTTTACGGATCCGGCGACGCCAGAGCCAGCAGCGCCGGATCGGGGGTCGGCGCGGTAAAGGCTCTGTCCCGTAACAAAATCTACCCCCACGGCCCGGGGCTTCGCGCCGCTCTGGTCGAAGCGCACCTTGGTCACGAGGGTGGTGAGCTTGATGTCGAGATGGTACTTTCTAGAACCATCCTCGTTCTTCGCGTTGGCCGTGTCCAGGACGAACTCGCGCGGTCCATTGCGGACGCCCTTGTTGACGGAGATGGGGACCTGGTAGAGGCCCTCGGCAGAGTCACGGCTGGGCAGGTCGACGTTGAGATCACGAAGGAGAACCTCGCCGAGACCTTGGATCGTCGAGAAGATCAATCCCAGGAGACTCTTGCCCATGGCGGAAGCAGCGGACAGAATAACCGTAAGGAGCTTGACATCCTTGATGACAAGTCCAAGGTCCGTCACGGAGGTGGTAAGCCAGCCGTCGAACCCGTGTCCTACAATACCATTGGGCAAGTATTCAGCGTTCTCGAGGCGCTGGAAGTACTTGCGCATGTTGGACGCGCCCCAGGTGGTGTCTCCGGTCAAGGTCGCGATGCCATCCCAGTCTGACTTGTGCGGGTAGACCGTGATCAACGCGTTGTGACTGCCGCAACCACCCAGCGTACCAGCTCTAGGATAAAGGATGCCGAGTGGCTCAGCGCCAGCCGGTGGGTTGAGTCCGACGTAGAGCTCCCCGTTCGCAAGTCGGTATGTCATCTTGGAGTCCTTCTTCTGGGCCTCGAGATCGGCAAAGTGTTGAACGTAGTAGTCCCATTTCATTGGGGCGTACTCTGTCGACTGAAGGTTCAACGCAGGGACCTGGTACGGTATCGAGTCTCCCTGGTCGTCGCCGGCGTCGACGAGAAGGACCTTCTTCCCGGCGATGGCGAGCCGGGCGGCAAGTGGGCCACCACCCGGCCCGGAGCCGACAACGACGTAGTCATAAGACGCGAGGATGTCGGTAGATTGCCGTGGGACAAAGTGCTGGCTCGGGCTATCAATGTTGTATCCGCGTCAGCCAACCACATTCATACTTTGCGTACCTCGCGTCTTAAGGTTTGGGGTAGGTCAAACTCACACAGCAGAGGCCGTGGCCACGATGTAGCCGAGCAACACGTTTGTGACATGGAGACACCAACGCATCTTGGATGAGATTGGAGGCTTTCGAACTGGTTCTTGCAGAGGTCGCAGCACCAAGTAACTCAAAAAGGAACGCCCGTCGTCAGAAAGTCAGTCTCTCTCCAGGAGCGGCGCACATTCCCCTTAAGAACCTGGTCCAAGAAACCTCACTTGTCCTCCTCGACGCGATGCGCCTGATCGCGACATGGGAAAAAGTCGCAACGCCCCTTGCATTTGATTAGACATGTCGCTGTCCGTCATGTACCCTCCCCATCTCGGATGTGACCTGCTTCTTTCCTATGTGACGGTGATCAATGTAGGTGATGCTATGTATGGCAACCTTCCCACTCAAGGTCCCAGAATCGCCCTTCTCGTGGTTCACTCAGCCTACCATCGTCGGCCGAAGGAACGATTAGGGAAGGACGTGGAGGTTGCCCCCCTGGTACGAGCACGGGAGAGAATCTGAGAATGATGCTGGTCATGTGGGAACACGAGCGGGAGGCCGATTAAGGTGAGGAGGACGCCAGGGGCCAGCGTCGCAGTCACGGCGGGCGCGAACTTGGCATGACTGTTGCGGGGGCTGCTTTAAATGAGATTGCGCTGTAGGATGTCTTGAATCGGGAAAGCTATCCGATGCACTTCGGAGCGCCGAGCACGAGGGCAGACGGACGGTCCTGGTTATGCGGGGGATAGCTCAGCCTTGGAGGGAGACATCGGTCCAAATTCTGAATGGGAAAAACGTAAAACATGGCCAGATATCTTCATGGCTGGCCTAGTTCGTCCGGGGATGACCTTATACGCGTTCCGCGGGGTGTTGTCAAAGCTCTCAGTTAGCCTTATTTCTTTGGTTCATGCATCTCCCATGTGTCCATCCTCAAGGTACGATCGATGACATGTTGGATGAACCGGTCGAGTCTCGCAAACCTGCGCCTCGCATTATTCAAACATAAACCAGCGAGGGGCTTCATGGTCCCATTGATTCCGTATAGACATGAATCAGGCCACCCCTGAGCAAATCTTTTGTTCGTTCTGCTCAGCCGTCCGCCCAGCTGAGTTGCGGTTGGGCATGCAATATGCGAGCCCGGCCTTTCATTCTGCCCTGTCCCCCGACTCCCCGCAGAAACCTGGCTCACTAAAGTCTGATCTTGGTTAGCACCACCTTTACTGCCAAAGAAACCCGGTGTCCGCCCCAAGCCTATTGCAGTACAGCGTGTGAGCATCTCACGACTGTAACGGCCCCAATGCAGTGAAGGATACCACCGGCGGGAAAGCCATCAAGATCCTAAGAAACGGGCTGTTGATGATGCGGCTCGCATTGAGTGATTCAGCCAACTTCATCTTTACCACCGAAAATCTTCATTCGTCACATTTGTTGATGTGATAGCGCTTGGAAGAAGAAACTCAGGGTAATGCGTACTATAACTTGAGCACAGCGGACGCACGCAAGCAGCCTGTCACCGTTGCTGCTCGTCAACCCATAAGCGAGAGACATCAAGCAAGCGCTGTCATCCACCTATTATACGTCGCTTTGAAAGAAGCCGGGTAGCCGCACATGGTGATGTGAGCAGTAAGCCCCGTGGCGCTCTCGCCAAAGCAATTGGGCTGGATGCATAATCCGCAAGTCTAGTCGCCCAGACGTTAGCGACGAGAGCTGGGAGCGCTTCCCCGTCTCCGCGACGTCGAGGCCATCCCAAAGTGTGCCGCTTTCGTCCATCGCAAGCCATTGTTTCGCAGTGGCGGCTGAGTGGCGATCTTGCCCTATGGATATGGTCTCATGAACGAAACTCCGGTCGCCGACATGTAATGCCCAGTTCATATACAGGATGTCTCCCTGATCCCGCATGGGCCCGGCCTTGTTGATGGGGGTTTCTTTCGCCGTGGTGACATCTGTACGCCCATGCAACGATCGGCATCAACCACACATCGCATGCCGTCGCATCGTTTTTGAGAATGAAGCAAATCATGCGGGTCGCAATCGTCCTGCTGTTTGCTGCGACGGCACAGGCAACGGTGCCTCAATTGAACACGACTGAGATCACAAAGCTACTCGCGACGACGCCAAAATGTGCGGTAAGTCACTCTCACAGTCTCAGTCGTGGTGTTTCACAGCCATCTCATGATTTTGAGCCAGCACTTAGTTACACTCACTGACTTGACTTATTTCCTAGATGCCATGCTTCGTCGATGCGTTCCATTCTGGCAATTGTACCCTCGACGGCTTGACGGACTGCGTGTGCACCAACATCCCTCTGCAAGCCCGCGCCTCCGCATGTATACAGCAAGCTTGCGAGTTCGATGATCAAGTTTGTGAGTGGTGGTACCTAAGGCGTCGTCGTGGCTCCAATCTCACTAACATTACCTTGAAGCCACCGCCCGTATCTCACAACAGTTATGTGAGGGCTATCCTTACCCTGACCGCAGAAAATTCTCCAAGGTTTTCTCCATTGGCCTACCCGTTATCACGATCCTCACGGTAGCTCTCCGATGCCTGGCCCGATTACAGGTCACGAACCGACTGTGGTGGGACGACTGGACGGCACTGATCGCTTTGGTAAGGTTCTTGGTGATGGTTCATTCGTAGCAACTGACTCACTGACGGTGGCAGGCATTTTTGATAGTCATGTCCGGCCTTGGCTACACAAGTATGTACTTTCCTTCGTGGCTCAAGAAACTGGGTGTCTAGTGCTGACTTCAGCTGCACATTAGATGCTGCAATGGGATTCGGACTTCACTATTGGGATATTGACCCGGGAAATGGCAAGACTATTTTGCAGGTACGACAACGCACGGCACATCACGAGTCTTGGCCAGCTAACTGAGACTCCCTTCAGATTTTC